GTGTGGGTGTGTGTGTGTGTGTGTGACTGTCCACCCACTGAGTAATGTCCAGTATTTAATATATTTTGTCCATTTTGTCCATTTCTAGATGGTGTCAGGCAGGAAAGTGTATTGGTCCTCGTTATTCCATCTTGACCAAAACTGGAAATCTGCAACCTGAGTCGTCTTCAACACTACCACATGGCTATCTAGGCTTCCTATGATGCCCACCAGCAAGGGCTTCTAGTAGAGTCATCCGACTCCTGGTCTGAATGACTCACAGGACCCAAGGCAAGGCAAACACTTTGCCTCAAGGTCATCAGTCCCCGCACAGAGCCCAGCCCACATGAGACACTCAAGAAGCTCTGCTGGATGAACTGATACACACACAACTGCAACCCACATTCAAAACCTAAGCTCCTCTAAGAACACAGGTCCCCCACGTCTTTCCGAAAGGCCAGGCCCAAGTCTGCACTGGGACTTCAGAATGAATCTAAACTCTTCACTAGCCAGAGGACAGTTAAGAAGAGAGCCCAAACAGACACCCAAAGTCAGGAGTGCTTTGAGGCCTGGCCAAGCCCAGGAAGGGGCAATTAGAATACCTTGTGGTTTCACTCCTCTTGCGTCTGACAGTTCTCTCAGAAGCAAAGCATTTTTCCCGTTGGTATGGAGACTTTCCTGGGCATCTCTTCAATACAGAATACTGTATTGAAGGAGACGAATATTGCAGCTTGTAAGTAACAAGAATGCTTGGGAACAAACTTCTTGTTTTATTTGGTTTTGGTTTTGAGGTGGAGTCTCATTATGTTGCTAAGGGTGTTCTCAAACTTGTGAACTCAACAGAGCCTCCCATCCCAGCCTCCTGAGCAGCTGGGATGACAAGTGTGCATCTCTGGGCCCAGAACAAGTTTTTTCATGTTTTTGTTTTTAATGATAGGAGAAAACTGACTACAGTTATATCCTGATCACCAGAGCCATAACCCTATCTGGATTAAAAAAAAAAAAAGACACATGAAGTGAAGAAAATGGAAGTCCTGTCTTATCCCTGGTTTCCCTTTCTGCTGTTTTACTCATCCCGGGTGAACGGTGAACCACAGTCAGGGGCAATACAGAAAAGTAAGGTATGAGATAGCACGAGCACACACACACACTACACATTTACCAATAATAACTATTATGACAGAAGAGTGTGGTAACTGTCCTATTTTATTACCAGCTATTGTTGGCAATCTCTTGCTGCACCTTTCACGTGAAACTGTATCATGGGTATGCATGTGTATATTGGAAGAAAACCACATATTTAGGGTTTGGTACTATCCAGTTTCAGGCAACCGCTAGGGGTCTGAGACTTTACCCCCGAACACGACGGGTGACTACTGCAAGCCAATTCCTAGACACACTGCACAGGACTTTCCTCAGTTAGCTCAGCCCAATTTTAAAGGTCAAATAAAGACAAAAACACTTTCGTTCTGAGTACTAAGGTATCACGTAGCTCCTTGCACCAACTGCGAAACTTCCCCAGCGATATCACTGCATACATTTGGGACTTCCAAAGAGAAACTAAAAGGACAAAGTGCAGAGAGGAGATTACCCAACCTTTTCCACCCATCGCTGAAGGATGCTGAGTGGCAGGTTTAAGTTCTGGTGGATGTTTTGAAGAGCCAGAAAAAGAAGGCTGAAAGGTATCACACTCCCCTCAGTGAAGACCCCCACCAGCATCGTTCAGGCCGTGACTGACACGAGCCTTCACTAAAGCGACAGCCCCAAACAGCACCCAGTACCACTTCCTGCTTCCAGCTCCTTCAGAGGCTTGCATTGTCCCCAGGATTAAACACAGGACCATTCCTGCGGTGCACAGAGCTCTTCAGGATCAGAAAACTTCACACCCAAAGAACTGTTTCTTCCCATACTTCATACATTCTGCCTAGGCTTTCCCAAAATATACCTTTAGTGGTCACTGACGCTCAGGTACAGAGAGGTAAACAGAGTTAAGCAGGGTTCCTTACTGCAGGACCCTCCAAACCTATGACTTGCTCCTGCACGTCAAGGTGCCAGAATTCTACCTGTGCCTCTACAGAATGCACTGCATGCCTCCTTCTTCCATTCCTCTTTCTTTTGCACATCGTGAAAGAATATTTGTTTCTATATCCACTGTCTCCCCTTCTTCTTGCCATCCATCCCTCAGGCTGCGGGACCCGGCTCCTAACTCTAGCCTGCTACAGAAACTGCAGTATTGAAATTCGGCACCCTGCCTCTCTCGTGTCCATTCTCCTGTGTGCTTTGTGGCCCCAAACCTTGTACCCTTTTCTCACTCTTCTTGGCTCCGCTCACCTCTATGTTATTTTTTTCTACTTTTCTCTTGAAAACTAAAAATACAGAGAAAAAAACAAAAATGCAAAATAAAAAGCAAATACTTATATTCCCGTGAATCAGAAGTGACAATGCTAACAATGTCACATTTGCTTTAAGTCTTCATTTAAAAAAAAAACAAAACAAGGGCCTGGGATTTAGATCAGTGGCACCTCGCCTGCCTCACAAGCTTAAGGCCCTGAATTTGCTCCCCCTGGCCCCATACCAGAAAAATAAAGAAAAACTTTAAAAAATTAAAAAAGAACAAAACAGGAAAAAGATGAAGAGCCCTGTCATTTCCGCTTGGCACCCACTCCCACTCCTTCCCCGGCCCACAGGCAAGCACCTCCCAAGGGCACAGCCCCTTTTCAGTTCACTTTCATCCTTTCACTTACAGATGTATTCCTAAGCAACAAAAATCATTTTGTACTTCATAAAAAACTGAGCACAATGACATCATACAGTAACTTATCAAGTTTCCTTCTTTCAGCAAGATTTACCCACATTGGCACTTGACAAGACCTGCCGATCTGATTCCACTGAGCCCATAGCACTGATCTGATGGCTTCCACTGTTCTCTCCAGTTACTGAGAACTTCGTAGACACCATGCCCCAATTCCACATCTTCACAGACACTACCTGTGTTCGCCTCGCAGTGACCCTCAGAGAAGACGATCCAAGTGCCTACCGCTGGCATGGGCAGGACAGCACTCTCTCCAGGGCTGGCTGAGCCAGAGGTTATACCACTGACCACTGTGCTAAGCGGGCCTCTTCCAAACAACAGCCAGCTGAGCTCTGCCTGTGCCAGGTGTCCCGAATGCATCACATCTCTTAATTCTCTGAACCATCCCATGTGTTGTGTACAATCACTGTCCCCAGTTAGAGACAAGGAAATAGGATGGAGCCTTGGAGGGAATAGACTTTACACTTTTAGAATCCAAGATCTTATCTACTGAGCTGGATGTCAGACTGACCGGGAGAGGGAAAGGATGGGAACAGAAAGATAGGCTGGAGTAAGCTTGTCAGACAGGGTGTTACACCAGTGTCACTGTTTCCTGATCAACACTCCACCACGGCATTCGGGGAACGGGGAAATGACACTTACAGTCGTGAACCTTGTAGCAGTGGTTCTGCAAGCGCTTGACGTCCCATTCCTCCAGCACACCGTGAGTCATCAGCAGCTGCAGGAATCGCCGGTGCACATCGGTCATGGTGCCCATTCTTCTGGCACTGCCTTGTCTGTGTACAGGAGCTGAGAGGAGGACATGGAATCCAGTCACCGGCAAGCACACAAAAGCAGTGCTCTAGGTTCTGTATTAATTTATGTTAAGAGGGATAAATTCATGGTGGTTTTTAGAATTATGTTCCTCATGATGATTACTGCAAAGGTGAAGAGAACACAGGTCAAGGTCAAGCTAGGCACACTGGTGCTGGAAAGGGGGGAGAAGCAGAGATTCCGAAGCCAGAGCACTGGGGCTCACAGCCTGGCTGCATCACTTCTGAGACCTGTGAAATCTGGCAACCGAATTCTCCATATGCTTTAGCTTTGTTCTGTAAAACAGGAATAATGATAGAAATGTCCTCCAAAGAATTGCTACAAGGATTAAACAAGTAAATACAACAAGAGCCTGCCGAGCTAGTAAGCACTAAACTGGTGCTAGCTATTTTTACCACTCAATAACTGAGTCTGTACCTTGACTCAGCCAATTACCAGACCTACAGACTTGAAGAAATTTAGCTGAAATTTCTCCCTACAAAATTATAAAAACATTCACTCCTTAGAAAGCTGCTAGTAAAATGATAGATGTTCATTTCTTTTTCCTCTCCCCAAACCTCTAATAAATCAACTGTCACAGTAGAACTGCGGGCTAGTTTGAAAATCTCCTGCTCTCTAATAAAATGGTATCTTTCCACAAACTGCAAAGATCAGAGTTGATAAACATTCGACACAAGCGCTGATCAAAACACCTGTTCTTGTCACTGAAAGGCAGCACAGTGCAGGGCCTGACAGTGTGGGTTTGAAACTAGACGGGGCCAGTGCTTGCCAGACCTGCCTGATCTCAAGAATCGTCTACCTTGCATTTAAATAATACAGATTCCCGAGACCCTTCAGGGAGGCTCTGGCTGAGTGGTAACATTCACTTTAGATGATGCCACAGTTGTTACTTAGGCAAATGGAGGATGGAACCATGTTAGGACATCCACTGTCTCCCTAAAGCTCTGTCTGCTCGGCCACAAAGCAGGGAGGACAATGTATCTCTTTGAGGCATAAAATGAGGTGTGAGATATGACCACCAAAACCTTGTCAAGAGCCCAGTGCACAAAAGGGACACAAAAATGCTTATTCACGTTCTCTCTCTTTTTCTTTTTTTTGTCTTGAGACAGGGTCTCACTATGCAGTTCAGGGTGGCCTCCAACGCCCTATGTAGCCCAGACTGGCCTCAAACTCTTGGCAATCCTCCTGCCTCTGCCTCTGGAGTGCTGGGATTACAGGCGTGCAGCACCACACCCAACTCGAAGAGGATAGATTTTAAAATATCCTCCTGGGCCCATGATAGAAAAGCATAGAATATCAAAGACTAAAAGCAACCAAAGACTAGGCCAGAGCCAGGCGTGGTAGCACATAGTTGTAATCCCAGCACACATTCTAGAAGGCTTAGCCATTAGGATCACAAATTCAAGCCTAGTCTGGGTAATTCAGTGATTTAGTAAGACCTTGTCTCAAAATTTTAAAAAAAAAGTTAAAAAGGGCAGGAGATGCAGTTCAGGGCTAAGGTCCTCATTTCAGTCTCCAGTACCACAAAAGAAAAAGAAAAAAAACAGAGAACAGGTCAGTTGACTTTCAAAAGAGCAACAACTAAGGCTGACAACTGACTTTACAACAGCCATCACGGAAACCCATGACAGCCAAAAAACACAGCCAATAGGCTGGGACAGCCAGCCATCTCTCAATTCAGCATTCAGTATTCAACTGAGGACTCAGGATGAAATAAAATATCCCCAAACAACAAAAACAGGAAGGTTAAATGACCAACAGATCCTCACTAAGGAAATACCAAAGCAAGTACTTCAGGGTAAAAGAGAAACAAGTTGTAAAGTCTACAATGAAAGAAAATGAAAAGCAAAGTTGGTAAAGGAACAATTAAATTCAAGTTGATCTGTTATTATACAAAACAGTAAAAGGAGTATCTGTGAGACTTTTAAAATTAAAATACACAAAAATGATAGCACGTAAATTGAGAGGTGAGTACTCACTATAATTAGTCTCTTTTTTGTTGTGTTTTTTTTTTGTTTTTTTGGTACCAGGGATCGAACTTGGGTCCTTGAGCTTGCACAGCAGGCAGCGAAACCACTGAGCTAAATCCCTGGCCCCTCACTATAATTAGTGTTCTAATATCCTCATGACGATTGTGAGCAAAATAAAAAGTTTATGAATTTTACACTTTCATTTCATAATTTCTAGAGTAAGCACCTTTTTTTTTGGTACTGGGGATTGAACTCGGGACCTTGCACTTACAAGGCAGGCAGCAGAACCACTGAGCTAAATCCCCAGCCCCTAGCACTTTTTTTAAAAACAAGAATAGAGTATATAATTTGCAAATTAGTAATGTAATGAGAAAAATAATCAATTAGTCCTAAAGAAGGCAACAAATGAGGAAAAAATAAAACAAAACAGCAGAACCATAAGAAATAAACTAGGGCCAGGCATGGTAGTGCACGGCTGTAATCCCAGCATTTCAGAGGCTGAGGCAGGAGGATCTCCATGAATTCAAGGCCAGCCTGGGCTACACAGTAACCTCAAAGCCCACCTAACTACATAACAATCCTCGTCTCAAAAAAAAAAAAAAAAGGAAAAGAAAGAAAGAAGTTAGGATAAATAAATCCCATTAAATTAGTGATAACAATAAGCAAAAATGGACTAAATGTGCTGATTTAAAGACAAGGACTGTTAGGTCAGATTTTAAAACTAGTCAAATTAATAAAGAATAAAATCTAGCCAGATATTGAGTTACTTCTAAAATATAAGAACACTGAAAAATTCAAAAAGGATAGAGATATAATCTGTAAATTTATATGAACTGATAGGATTTTATTAATATGAGCCAAAATAGACTTTAAAGCAAAAAGGTTTCCAAGAGATAAAGAAGGTCATCAAAAATACCCTTTAAAAAGGTTAAATCCAAAAGAAGATATAATGATTTAAAATGTTTATGCAGTTTATAATAGAACCTCAAGACAATTACGGTCAGACCATGGGAACTGCAAGATAAACACAACTCCACAACACCAGTGGAGGATTCCAACACACCCCTCTCTCCTTCACTGATGGTGAACAAAACAATCATCAATGGTGAGAGAAGTTCTGTAACACAGGCAAGCTTCCCCGATGGACATGCATAAAACACTGTGCCCAACAGCCACAGGACAGATTCTTCAAGGACACACCGAACAACTATGCCAGTGGCCAAAAGTGGGCCAGAAAGTGAATGTTACAAAGTTTAAAGAATGGATCTCATCCAGACCAAGTACTCTAATACAAGGGAAGAAAGCTGGAAACTGGTACCAAAAAGATAACCAGAAAAACTCCACTGGTTTAGAATTTAAGAAACACACTTCTAAATAATCTATTATCAAAGAGAAATTATTAATGAAAATCAAAGCGATATTGGATGGAATAATCCCAAAACATTACACATAAAAACTGGTCGGAATAAAGACCCAATCCGAAGACGGGCATCTGAAATGAACAGACATTTCTCAGACAAGGAAGTAGAAATAGCAAATAAATACATGAAAAAATGTTCAACCTCACTGGTCATTTGAGAGATGCAAATGAAAACAATGCTGAGATTCCACCTCACTCCAGAAAGAATGGCTGCTATCATGAAATCAACCAAGAACAAATGCTGGCGGGGCTGTGGGGAAAGAGGAACCCTGCTCCACTGCTGGTGGGAGTGTAGACTGGTGCAACCACTGTGGAAATCAGTATGGAGATACCTCAAAGAACTAGGGCTGGAAGTCCCATTTGACCCTGCTATTCCACTGCTGGGGATCTTCCCCAAAGAATTAAAAGAATCATACCACAGTGATATATGTGCACCCATGTTCATAGCAGCACAGTTTGTAATAGCTAAAACTTGGAAACGGCCCAAATGCCCATCAACTGGAGACTGGATAAAGAAAATGTATTTTTTTTATAAAATGGAGTACTACTCAGCCATAAAAAATGAGAAATTAGAGACATTTATAGCTAAGTGGATGCACACTGAGGCAATACTCTTAAGTGAAATAAATAGGACACACATGTATAAATACCAAATAGTTTCTCTGGTGTGAGAAACTGAAAGTGTAAATAAGGACTAAAATGTATAATAGGTAATGTGAAATAGGAAGAAAAGGGGCAAAGGGGAAGGAAGTGGGAGGGCTAGGGGAAAGGATAGAAGGGAATGGGATTAATATGAGAAAATGGAAAAATAGGAACAAAATCTTTGTAAATAGGGAGGAATGGAGGGGTTGAAGGGAGGGCTAGGCAAGGGTGAAAAATAAGAACCAAGAGAGACTATGTAAAGGTGCAAATTTCCAATGATGAATGTCATTATATTGTGTACCTAAAATGTACCAATGATTAGAATGAATAATCGATAATGCAAAACAGGAAGAAAAGGTCCAAAGGGGTAGGGGAAATGGGAGGTGTGGGGGAAAGGAAAGAAGGGAAAGGAAAAGTTACGAGAAATGGGAAAAAATGGAAATAAAGTCTTTGTAAATTGGGAAGGGTGGAGGGGTTGAAGGGAGGGCTAGGAAAGGGGGAAAAATAAGAACCAAGATGCATTATGTAAAGGTACAATTCCCAATGAGAAATGTAATTGTGTTGTATACCTACAATGTACCAATAAAAGAATTTAATAAAGGGCAAAAAAAAAAAAACTGGTGGGAAGCAAATGAAGCAGCAGTGGGAAATAGCCTTAAACATTTATATTTTTTAAAGGAAGGGGCTGAAAATTAATGAGTTAGGCATCCTATTAAAGATGGTATAAAAAGAACAGCAAATTAAATCTGAACAATGTCAAAGGAAGAAAATAATGAGCAAAAATTAATACAACAGAAAATAAATCTGTACCTAAGGAGATCAACAAAATCAAAACATGGGCGGGGGGTGCAGTTCAGTGGTAGAGAGCTTGCCCTGTGTTCAAGTAGCTCTGAGTTTAATTCTCACTACCACACTCACACATAGAAAAAAAGCCAAAAATATCTGAAAAAACAATGAGAGGAAACAAGTTCTGACAAGATTCCCTAAGAGAACATTTACAAATAAACAATATTGGGAATGAAAAAAAAAAAAACCAATTGCATGTGACACAAATATTTTTGAAAGATATTAACAATTTATAACAATCTGAAGTTTTAAATAAGTACAAAGTCATAGGAAACTCATTTAAAACTGATGAAACAATTATTTGAAAACTTAAGTCCTAGAGCCATTAAAAACATTCTGAGAAATCCATCTTTCTGCCAAGAAAACTTTAGGTCCCAAAAAATCTTATCAGAAAGTCTTACCAAACATTCTGGAAACAAGTAATTTCAAAAGTTATACACATCGTCCCACAACCAGAGTCAATTCTCCCCAACCCAACTAATAAGACTGACATTATTTGGGCACTAAAATTTAACAAGGACTTCAACAAAAGGAAAATCACGAACAAAATTATACACACGCTACCTCTGAGGAAAAGAGCTATAATAGTCCCAAGCAAAATGCTAAACCAAATCCAGCAATGCAAAGAGAATGGAATATGATCGGTGAGTTTATTTCAGCAATGGTTTAACATTTAAAAATCAATCGATGCAAGTCTCCACATTTACAAAGAAAAAAGCGTATGATCATTTTAATAGATGTAAAAAAGTACTTGATAAAATTCACATTTATTCATACTAATATGGACTTGGGGAAGGTGGTGCTGAGGATGGAACCTGGGGCCTCACTAATGCTAAGCAAGCACTCTACCACTGAAGTACCCTTAGCCCAAAGGAAATTTCTGTTATCTACTAAATGAGATCTATAAAACACCTACAGAAAACTTAAAGATGAAATGTTGAAAACAATCACTTCAAAATCCCAACTGATCCCACTGCCTGCCTGGCAAGCAAGGTCCCAAGTTCAATCCTCAGTACCAAAAAAAAAAATCCCAATTGATCAATGCAATTCCAATCAAAATTCCAGCAGGCTTTATCAATGTGTCTGTATGTGATTTGATGAAATGATTCTAAAATTTACATAGAAAAGCTTATACAGAAAACCTTAAGTCAAAACAACAGACATTCCTGGAGAAATAAAAGGTAGGAGACCTTGGTATCTACCAGATATCATGACATCATAAAATTGGAGTGATGAATAAATTATGGTGATGGTACAGAGAGTGACAGATCAATGGAATAAATACAGAACTACAACAGGAAGATATACATATGTATATCTGACATGAATTCCATATCAAAACAAACTTTTCCATAAAGGTGCTAGGACAACTAGTTATCCATATGTGAAAAAAATTAAATTTGATCCCTACCTCACACCGAATACAAAAATCAATTCTAGAGGGTTAAGTCTCATAAAGAAAAACTATAAAACCCAAGGATAGGAAAGAGTTCTTTAAAATATACAAAAAGTAAAAACTACAAAACATTGGTGAAATTGACTTTTAAAATTAAGAAACTGTTCAATCAAAGAGGGTGAGGGAAGGAGGGAAGGTGGAAGGAAATGCAAAGCTACAAACTAAAAGATCTGAAATACATCTGAGCCACAAAATATTCATTCTCAAGAGTACCTAAAGAACTCTCACAAATCAGGATGGGAAAGACAACAGTAAGAGGAAAAAATGGACAAAAGGAATTTCATAAAAAAAGAGGATGTACAAGTGATTAATAAATACATTTAAAAAGATCCCCAATCTCAATGTTACTGGGCAAATGGATATTAAGCCAGTGAAATAATGTCTTACCCACCACCAGATAGGCAAGAGTTCTAAAGAATGGCTGAAGGCTGAAACTCTACTTCACTGCTGATGAGTACAGTTTTTGGGGGGTTTTTTTGGTACCGGGGATCAAACTCAGGACCTTGCACTTGCCAGGCAGGCTCGATGCCACTGAGCTAAATCCCCAGCCCCAGCCTAAATTCTTAATAACCACTTCAGATAACAATCTGATCTTACAAGCAAATTAGCATATCCTCAGAAACCCACTATTAGATATGTACTTTACAGAACCGTCCTCATTCGCCCCAGAAAACACATTTGTATGTCTACAAAAGTCTGGCAGAAGTACTAAGACCTATCAACTGAAGAATGGCAGTATAAACTGATTATAATCATACAATGGAATTCAAAACAGTAATCAAGATGGAGAGCTAGTCACATCAACAGATGTTTCTAAAAAACATGCTCTATGCAAAAAGCAAGCCACCATATGTATACTAGGTCACCACTTAGATAAAATCCAAAACCATATATTGTATTCATTAGAGAAACATATAGATAGTAAAAAGAAAAACAAGGTACAAAATATTTAGGACAGTAGTTATCTTTGGGAAAGGAAATTATTCAATGGGGGCTTTGGTGGTATAATAATAGCTTTTTTCTTTTTTTGAGACAGTCTCCCTATGCCGCCCAGGCTGGCCTTGAACCCACTGCATGGCTCAGGCAATAATGCCTCAGCCTCCCAAATGCTGGGATTATAGGTACAGTACGCATCACTACCCCTGGCCAGATAATAGCCTTTGTTAAGTTTACATTTCTACATGCTTTTCATGGGGAGGGGGAGATTGGCAATTGAACCCAGGATCTCCCACATGCTAGGCAAGCATTCTACAACTGAGCTATATGCCCAGCCCTTCTTATTTACCTATATTCTGAGACTGGGTCTCCCTAAATTATCCAGACTGGAATCAGACTTTCCATCCTCCTACCTCAGCCTCCCAAGTAGTTGGGATTATAGGCCTGTGCCATTGTGCCAGCTGCGCAACTTTTACAGACATATTATATATCATAATCAAGAAAGAGAAAGATGTGACCCCGTCAAGTAACATCGGACACAAATGTTAATAAAGAGGAATGAGGTATAGAACAGGTTCAAATACTTCCATTTGGGACAAGGTGTAGGGCGGAAGTGGAAGAGATGCATAAATATGAATGTGCTTATTTACGCATACTCTGTCAGCTGTCTCTATGAAGAGAGCCTGTGGGAGGTGGATAACCGCTGACAGGTACTACCGACCCAAATAGTTTTAAGGCAGAAATGTTTGTGTAATAAGGAAGCTCTGTCTTCTCATTCGGTCGTATGCTAGAGCTTCACGTGCACAGCCTCGTTTATTCCTCAAGTGAACCTTATTTTACAGATGAGGAAACTAAGGCTAAGAGGGTGCAGGTGACCGTTAGGAGTGACAGACTAGGCGGCAACTCACAAGCACGGTTCTGTTCTCCACGCACTCCCAAGACCAGGTAAGCAAGAAAAATGAGTGAACAGTTCTCACATTACAAAAGCCTGAAAACAAAATCTTCCTTCTCAGGTGTGAAAACGTGACCTGACCTAAAGGAGGGCTGTTCAGGGTTCGTGCTCCCTTGGGCAGTAGGCCTGTTCCAGGCTGTGCCGGACTGCGCTCCAGGCCCGCTGGGGACGTGCCGATCGGTGCCCCAGTTCCTCTCCAAATCCGAGCAGTCTGGACTCCGAACACATCCAGCCTCGGGGGGGGGGGGGCCTGTGGCCTTCTCCAAAACAAGACCTGTACACGCAGGCACACCACTGGGGGCGGGGGCAACGACTGCTGCTACTCTGGGGCTCGGCGGTTTTCACCTATTGGTATGACTAGGGTATCTTCTCAATTTAGGGTTACTGTCTGTAACTGTGCGTGTGTGTGTGTGTGCGTGTGTTCTGCGGGGCTAAGTCCCGCTCTGCTAGCCTCTGCCCCACTCCTCTGGGCCTCAGTTTCCCCGTCACCCTCGGAGAAGCTCGAGAGCCCCCAGCGCCCAGCTGCGCACACGGCCGACCCTAGGCCTCGTCCCCATGCCCGTTCCGCCCAACCCCGCCCTTCGTCTGTCCCCCCATCTTTCCGTACGCCTCTTCCTTCCCTGCTAGCCTCCCGCTCGCGCACCGGAACTTTACCCTGCACAGCACCCAACGCTGCTCAGACTGCAGGCGGCTGTGGCCGGAAGGCGGACTTCCGGCATCCCTTGGGGCGGGGCGAACGCGAATACGGCGCTCCCATTGGTGGCTGCTGGCAGACTCCCCGCCCAACGGTGACTCATTTCCGGTCCGCCCTCCCGCGCGGTCGCCAAGGTGTTTCGGGATCCGTGGGCTGGCCCCGACCTAACCGGTTTCCTGAGCTACGCAGTTTCCCACGCGGCTGGAAGTACTTACGGGAATAGGCTTCCACGTATTCCCCTCCGCCTGTCACAACCCAGAGAAAATCCCTACGGAAGGCAAGGAAGAGCGGGCGCGCCGCCGCGCCTGCCGGGCGGGTTAAGTGTTAGCCACAGTATTATCTCACTTAGGGAATGTTGTGAGAAGCTGATAAAGCCTAATGGAACTGCTGGACTGCTTTGACTCTCCAGAGCATTATGTTAGCCTGAGGGCTGAGAATGCAGCCTAGCCGGGAAATGACTAACTGTGGAACCCAGCAAGGGCAGGTAGCTCTCTGGGAATGTGTTAAAATCCCTACTTTGTCATTTGCCACCCCTGGAATTTTAGACAACCTCTCAATCTCAGGACTGTTTTCTCATCTGCCGGGTGAGGAAAGCCATGGAGAGTAATGGTTAAAAGCTTGAGCTCCGGGGCTAGATGATCAACTTTGAATCCTGGTCCTTGAACTCAAAATCTCTGACCCCCAGGACAAAGTACTCAAGCTCTGGGCTGTTTGCCCATCTGTAAAGCAGGGATAATAATAGCAGCTTGTTGCTAGGGTTGTTGTGGAAATTAAACACAAAGCCCTCAGAAGGTGTCTGGTGCATGGGAAGCCCTAGGAAAATGTGAATTACCTTTACTGGCTGTTATGGTTTGTCTGGATGCCCCCCAAAAGCCTCATGCATAGGTAGGGCTTTGCAGAGGTGGCTGGATCTAGAGTGTGGGATGCTAGGATTAAAGGTTTGTGGTTACTAAATTAATCCACTGATTGTCATAGTTCTGAATGTGGATAATGGGAAGACCCAGCCTGGGTATGAGTACTACCTGCCCTAAGGACATGTAACCTACATAAGATATAAGGGACAGAAAGAGGGTCCCTTGCTTGTTGCTTGCTGCTTTGCTTCTTCACTACTTTGCTGCCTTCTGCCTCCCATGAACTGTTTCTCCTCTGTGATGTCCTGCCATGCACCCTGCCTTGGAACCACCCAACCATGAACTGAAACCTCTACGAACTGTGAGCTAAATAAATCTTTCCTTGTTTAACTTTGAGTGTAAGATATTTTGTCTCAGCAATGAGAAAAGTAAGACACTAACCAAGAACTTTATAAACTGCCTTATGGACGGTTGAACCAGAGAAGAAAACAGCCCTAAGGAACATGTATGCTTTGTTTGCCCTACACAGTTTTGTAAGTTTTCAATTATCAGTGGTTACACTGGAGATTTTTCACATTAAACCTTAGGATATGTGATTGCTCTTGAAAAATGGGAAAATCTGGTGACAGTGGGCCAGCAGTCTCTCTTGGTGGCATTTGTTCAGATCTTGGGACAGCCTATTCCCTTTTGTTATGGAGCCAGTGTTTCCCTGGTGTGTGGGGAGAGAAAAGCTTGAGGACCAAGAATAGAAAGCACTGGACATAGAGATATTTCTGAACCAAAGGGCCAGAAAGGAAGCAGAAAGGGAATTCAAACCTGAGTGGTATGAGAGGCACATAAATGGGAGAGGTGGACACATGTTGTGGTCAGGATTGTCACTGCTCTGGAGAGGTCTGAAAAGAGGTGTCACTGATTTAGAGTGTGAAGGCCAAGAAGAACAGTCTCAGTGAAGAGCAGGAGAAAGCTAGATAGGATGGCAAGAGGAGTGAAGAATGGAAGTGCAGGGAGTGCTAACCATTCTTGTAGGAAGTACCATGTAGGAAGGGAGGCTCAACTCGGGAGCAGAGAGAGTAATCAAGAGAATAAAAACACGTAAGAGAGTAAGATCAAGGCACATGGAGACAGGATTATCCCTGCCTTAGAGAAAGAGAGGCTGCTGAAACAGGAGGGAAAAGAGCTAAATAAAGGGGCCAGGGATGTAGCTCAGTGGTTCCGCCACCTGCCTCACAAGTACAAGGACCGGAGTTCAATCCCTGGTACCAAAAAAACAAAAACAAAGTGCTAAATAAAGGTTCTGCCTGATAATTCTATTTTCTCCAGAAGAAAAACAATCATTCAGCTGAATACAGGTGCTGCAGAGATGAGGAGAGGGCAGCGGATATGAAGGGGAATGCAGCAGTGAGGTGCCAGCTAAGCTTGAAGCCATACCGGTGCAGTGATGATAGTCACTTGTCTGATTCCTTCACCCCATCCCCATCCGAGGGGCCCCAGCACAGAAGCTCAGTTCACATTCATCCTAGAGTGGGCGCTGCCACTGACGAAGGGGGAGCAATTAGTGGTTGTTGCTTCAAAGTCATCCACCATGGTAGGGGCAGGCAGACATGAGAAGCGACAGTGCTGAAAAATGCAAACAGAACAGTGGACAAATGAGCAACCAGCATCTCAGTGAGGTGGACCTGGTTCAGTAGCCACAAACACTGAGAGGTTGGAGTTGACAGTGCAAAGTGTCCCCACAGGGTGACTGTCCTACCTCACTGTGACTTGACCCTCAGAAGATGGTGCGCTTTCTGTTTCATTATAAGTTGGGACGTTCGATGTGCCTGGCATGGGACAGCCATCTGCTCCTCAAGAAGTCTTGACAGTTCAAATGTTCTCCTGAAAGTTGACCCTAAGATACATGAGAGCTACAGGCACACAAACTTGTTCATAAGGGAGGTGGCCAAGGCCTTGGCTAGACAGGAAGCTTGGGATCAATAATATGCTAAGGGGGCCGGTGTTTCCCTGAAGACCACAGAAGCTATCAGAGAAGCTATGAGATCAAGCTGATATTTTACAGAAAGAACTTTCATAGATGTTCTTTTCAAACATCCTTGGAACATACGCAGTAACTATGTACAAGGCCACAAAGGAAGCTTCAGTAAGTTCCAAAGAATCTATAGACCACATTCATGAACCACAATGTAGTAAAATTAAAAACAACACAAAGAGAGCCAAATAGAAACCCTTTCAATACATAGGATACATACATCTTAAAGTATAACAAGTTGCTTCTGAGGAAGGGGTCAGGAAGTCAGAATGAGTATTTTGTTTTGTTTTACTCTGTATATTCTTATGAAAAATAAAATTATATGCATACATTTGAGTTTTATTTCTTGAGCTAGCTGAAGAGTACAGGAGTGTGTACCCAGATGTTCATTAACTTTTGTAACCTTTCTGAATGCTGAAAGATTTTGTCATACATTTTTAAAAGAGAACAACATTTAAAAACTGGAAAATACAGACATTAAAAAGAAAACCTACATGGAAATTACAAAATATTCAGAAAAGAATGATAATGAAAGCCTGGCATAACCCACAAACATGTGAGACCTGACTAAAACAATAAGAGGGGAATTTATCGTCTTAAGTGCACTTACTAAACAATAAAACAAAAATGTAAAGGAGTGAATTGCTCAGTTTAAGAGGTAGAAAAATAACACCTAAATAAACTCAGAGAAAAGCAGAAAAAAGGAAAAATAAAAAAGCAGAAACAAGTAAAACACTGCAGTTGATTATAGAAACCAAAAATTAGTGTTCCATTGGGACCAATAATACAGACAAACTTCTTAAAAGATTTAGCAAGAAAATGGCACAAATAAGCAATATTATAAATGCAAAGAAGACACATACCAGATAGAATAACGTTTTAGAAGACATGAGTGTACTATGAACAACTTTTTTCCAATACATTTGAAAAAATACAAATTTTTGACAAAAATACAAATTACAAAACAGCCCAAGAAGAAAATAATTATTAATAAAATTAAAATAATATAGGATCTGCTCCAACTCCCCAAATGCCCAAGCCAAGTTTTACTGGAGCAATTGACAAAGAAAAGAAAAAATACTATATTATGCAAACTGCATTGCTATATGTAAGAAAGCTATTTGATACATTCTGTGAGGCTAATCTAATCTCAATGCCAAAAGGAAAATAACAAAATTAAAGAAAGTGTCAGGCCCACATAACATTACAAACATGTATGCAAAAATTGAGCTTACTAGCATATCATTTGTAAGCATTACAGCCTCACTGGAGGGCAGTTTGGTGTTACTGAAATTGAAAAAGCTCATCAGGCAATCCCACTTCCAGGAATTTAACCGGAGAAGATGCTGTGTGCATGAGGATTGCTGCAACGATGTTGGCAATAAAGGAGAAAAACTGTCCCACACACCCATCAACAAGAAATGAAAATGCAAAATATTCATACGCAATGGCTGATTATGTAATATCAGAAGGAATGAACTAACAAGCATCTACATGCAAGAACACTGAATGCAGAGATGGAGGGGGGAAAGCAAGATATAAAATGATTCAGCAAGGTTACCAGTTATGCATATTTGGTGAAATGCAAAATAGAAATAACTTATGTCCATTTGATAAGTATATATATAGAAAAAAAAATTTTTTTTTTTGGTACCGGGGATCAAACTCGGGACCTTGCGCTTGCACAGCAGGCAGCAAGAACACTGAGCTAAATCCCCGGCCCAATTATTTTCTTTTTAAGGATTGGAAAGATCGTTATAAAATCCCAACGAAAGGACACCTAGAAAGAAGAAAGAGGGATTGGGATGGGAATGGAAAGTACTTTTGAGGTTTACCTGTAATCTCTACTTTTATATTAAAACAATCCAACTAGGTATTCATACAGTGTTCATGTAATTTTTGAAAAATTGATTTCAGAAAGGGGATGGAGGCAAATATGCCAAAATGTTAACGGTGGTCGATGTTAGATGCTGGAAAAATTTGCAACTGTCTTTTTTTTCACTTTGACTTTTCTCTATTTTCTTGTAAACTTCTAATAGGAAGAGTGAGAATATGAGAAACATATTTTTTCTCTCTCTCTTTTAAGTGCACAGCAATAAATAAAGAAGAAAATGGAAAGAAGAAGATTAGAAACCAGATCTCAAGCCAGCCCCAGGCCCAACCCCTTTTCTGACAGTACTCACTAGCATCTGTGTCTCATAGAATTTTAATTTGATCCAGTGAAAG